ATTTCTCCAGGGAGGAGGAAAAGGGAGAGGGCAGGGAGATCTTGGTCCAGAACGCTGTGTCCACATTGACATCCTAACATCATTAAATGCTGCAAACCTCGCCGAGAGCTTTAGTCATGGGCAACATAGAAAATGTAGCAGCAGCAGCAGCAGCAATACTTCCTTTGCATGATGTTTGACTGTCATACAGGAGGAACGGCACTGAAACATTTTACTTTTCCCAAAACAGCTTTTAATGCCTTCGAACTGAAATTGCAGACCAAGTGTTCTTTGGGCTGATTCACATCCCGCCCCCGCCCCCGCCCCCCGCGGCGCGTACACAGAGACGGTGGGTGGGTAAAGGTGTCTCAGCAGCTCGTTGCAAAATCGAGCGACGCCGGTTGCGCCTGTGCAAATGAGCCCTTCGCAGATCAGACATCAGAGACTGGCCTTTCATCTCACCAACTCCTCGTTCAGGTGCAATCATTTCAACTGAACCAGCCCCCACAATTAGCTGCGATTCATTAGGTTTACAGTAATCGCCTTGAATTATGTGTGTCACAATTGCCTAATTAAGGAGCAAACCTCATTGCAGGTTTTTTTAAATTTTATTCAGTGCCTGTATGATGGGAGGCTGCTGGATGTGGCAGAGACGTGAAATGATTTCTGATTACAGCTTGTATAGGATGAGCAAGTCAAGAGTGAAGCGACGAGAAAATGATGTTATAATACATGAGGAGATGAAGTTAGGGTGAGGTTGAGGAAAGAGTGTGCAGAAACCCTGGGTTTCACGATACTCCGAGAGGCCCAGTTACTGCCACCGCACTGATTGCTCCCACTCCATTCTTTTTAAAGTGGATGTTCGGGTTAATAGAGATGGGGAAGAATTTCTTTTGAGCCACATTTTTAAGTGACTTTGCACTTGCAAGACCCCTGCTGATTGAAAAACAGTTATCACTTCTGTGAAATTTGTGATGTAGTTCTTGGCACAAACACTTAATGTAAAAATATGTATATTAGGGGAACTGAATAGGTTAGAGGAAGTTGCATGCAAAAATAACGGCGAATTTTTATCCAGTTCAATCCAGATTTTGGTTTTGTTTTAACTGGACCCAATGCACAAACTGGGCAAAACAGACTTAAGCTCTGAATGTCTGCCAAACGGGCAAGGCCTAGGAAGGGACTAATGCATCCATCCTTAATGGCAATAGACCATGCTAATGAGACACCTCCTACTGGGGTTTTACTGGGATTCTCATGCCATGACCAGAAGGCAAGGTGCTCAGCATGGACGGAAGATGCAGGTGTTGCCTGGAACGGACCAGAAGAAACCACAGAGCCCCTGCTGCTCAAACTGGCATGTAAAAAGAGCTAAAGCTGAATATTTTTCTGCTAAGATTTAAAGGAAGTTTGGCAGATAGGGGAGGCGTGGCTACTGCAGGCCAAAGAGGAAACATGTGCTGCAAGTCCCCGCCATGCATGGGTTGTTGTTGTTTCCATCGGCAAGCACAAAAGGTTAGCCAACCCTTCCTGACCTGCGCACACACCTGAGTTCTACAAAGCCCTCATTCCTGGGGTTCCCTTTTCCCTCAATCTCAGCGGGAAGGGAAGGGAAGGGAAGGGAAGGGAAGGGAAGGGAAGGGAAGGGAAGGGAAGGGAAGGGAAGCTTCCAGAAATGCGGTACAGCCCTCTCGGAGCCGGGCATCGGACTCCTTTGCATTTCCACTGCCTGTCTCGGGCTCCTTTGTAAATAATCTGACACAAATAATTTGACACAGATAAAACTGTCAAAATAGAGGTTCAAAAGAAACTTTTGAACAACATAAAGTGGCCAAGCGTATTTGCATCCATCCAATTCTGCAGTATTATCAGCCCCTGCTTGGTCTAAAGAGGCAATTCCAGTCATCAGTGGACTCTCATTGTGAGTGAGGGTTCTCTGCAGAGGCGAGGGCGAGTCTGCCTCTCCCTGGACATACCATGTACTAAAAGGAAAGCTTCTAGTCCATATTGTCCAACAGGAGAATCAAGGACACCCAAAGACACACCAGAGGCTCTTTCTGTGAGCTGCACTGACATAAAAGGTGAACAGAATCGCACATTTCGTGATTGGTTCTGCAAGTTCCAGAGTGATGCATACGCTGCCTGATGCACAAGGGTCAATAACACACGCAGGCTTCCACAGTCATTTAAACTGTGGAGTTAATGCTGCACAACTTCCATTTTAGCATGCAGAGTTGCCCTCTCCACTGACGTGGCTAAGGAAACCCTCGCTGATGCCGGAGCTGTGCGTATACGGATTTAGAGCCAATCCACTGACATATGGCAGGGCATGAAGAGACGACCTGCTTGGTCCACCAAAAAGACGGTTTCTCTCCCATTCTGTATTTTCTTTCCTTCTAGGGAAGGGATACATTCATAGGGACTTGAATCTGTTTCTTCTTATGCATGTAAAATAACCATAATCATCTTGATTTTCTGTCATTAAACATAAAGTCATTTTTCACACATTCAGAATATTCATAATAATACTTCCTTCACACCAGTGATAATACATTGCACACACGTACAGCAGGAAACAAAAACACCCGGTCAGGTGGCTGAACTCAGAAAACCAACATGGCAAATGCTGAGGTCGCAGTCAATGTAACCTGGAGCTGTGTTGGAATGTTTTAAAGCTTCTAGCCAACACTATCAAAAGCCTTCCAGATAAAAGCATCTTGAACCAGGGCCATTCAATGAAGGATGAGGAAGTGCTCCAGGTTTCTCTGCTTATCCGAGTAACAGTTGCACGAAGTCAAAACATAGTCATGCCTTTTACAGAAAACTCAACCAGTTGATCAACATATATTTATAGGATGTCCCAGATCCTTCCTTGTCTTGTAGAATGCTTGCTTGCTTGCCTTTTTGTTTGTTTATTAAATTTATACCCTGCCCATTAGCCAGGATGACTCTCTGGGCAGCCTCCATGTTTCCACGATGAAGTGCTGATGTCAAGCATCTCATATTAATCCATTCAGCTACTTGGTAGAAGAAATTGCTTCTGTTTTCCGCCACAACAGATTTTTCAGTTTGTGCATCATCCAACATTCGTTCTTTTCTCAAAACATTTTTCTGTCACCCAAGTAGAATACCATGAAAGTTAAGGCTCATATGGCATTTCAACAGTCTTGCCCGGAAGGCACTCCAGAAGGACAACATGTGATAAAGCCAGAATCCAGTTTCAACTACATAAGGCTTTTTTAAGCGTGTCTAAGCAGACATACACCAAGTCCAGTCTTAAAAATGCTAGTGTACAGTCTAATAAAAATGATTAAAGTTTTAGGAGGGAAATCAAAACACCAGCATTTTCTTTGTAAAAGTAAACAGCCAAATGTGTAATAGTGATCTTTTTTTCTTTGTACTTCCTTGGTTGTCCACATCTTTCGGAAATCACTGCTGTTCACCATCTGTAGTCTCTGTTTGTTCTGATGGGTTAATCTCGGGATCTGAGATGGGCATTTTCCTGTGACTTCGGACAGTGTGAGCATTCAGCATTTCCAAAAGCAGATCGTAGACTGGTACAACGTTCTTACACTTCATGCTAAGCAGGTGCTCCATCCCTTTGTTACTGTGGGGAAAAACAGATTGGTCAAAAGAAGGCTTGGGATTCAAGACGGTGTTATTCCGAGAGGTTCTGAAGCACATGGCAGGCACCCGGTGGCAGTGCTGCAAAACACGATGCATATGCATTGCTTCGGGCCTTCCAAGTACCCAAGAGCCCCGAGGGCAGCATCCCGAACACCTCTGGGGTAACATCCAATGGGATGCCCATCCATGCCAATAACGCTCCGAGGGCAAGATCCACCTCTTGCACAGCAGAGGTTCAGCAGAGCTGGAAGAAGCCAGGAGTGAGTGGAAACGCTTCCGAAATATTTCTGGAATAGGGAAGATAAGCCGAGCTTACATAAGTGAGCTCCACCAAGTGTTTCTGTCCTGATCCAGAAACAAGCATTTTGGGGAATTCCTCTTTTATTATTATTAATACCCCCAAGTCACTGCAATATAAAGAAGATCACCAAGGAGTTATAAATAAAATACAAGGTAGGCAGAATTAAGCATACATCACTAAAAATGAGAGTAAATTCCTGAGTTTCAACCTAAATGTAACATTCCACAGAACTGGTTTCCAAGTTCGGTTTTTGCAATCTTGTTAATCAAACTAAGAGCAAAACATACAAAGATAAATTAACATTAGCAGTCGAGTAAGGAAGAATAAGGTGATCAAATGCACAGTGATGCTTCTGGCACAGATGCAGGATCACATTTTTTAATGCTTCCCTGCATGAAACAGAAAATCAATTAGCACAGAACATTGGCATAGAAATTTCCCCTTTAATGTGATAATTCGCTGCTTGTAAGGATTTTTATTTTGCAGGAATTCTCCTACATGGTACAGTTCATCCTATCTCCCTGAAATTCTGCTTTCTCATTCTGCTATATGTGTAGGGTGTGGTATGACAAGCTGCTTTTGTCCATTTTCAAACAAGAGATTTAAATTGCTTTTGAGCCCTTCTTAAGCTATTTAAGAATTAATGCATTCTTCTACAATAGACAGACTGAAGGAGTATTTGTAATAAAAAGGAACTTTTTGGCCAATGTAGGTGTTTTTACATTCACATGACAAGCTTGACTGAAGAGCTGCCCTTAATATTTTCACAACACTGCAGGTCAGTTCATAGTTTCAAACAATGTTTCCCTTTGCTTCCAATAAGCCAGGAATGAAGTTAATGGAAAGCGGGTCTTTTGGTTTTTTATTTTTTTTTTTAAAAGCCAAAAGCCAGGCTGTTCCATTTCTTATCTTCACTGATAGAAAAATCAATATTCCTTAGGTCATTCTAACATAACGACCCAATCTTTTTAATGTGTAGTTTTAAAAAGGAACAATAAATTGTCCAGTGCTGGGTCAACATGTTAACACTATTACTGGGTGGACTTTCATTGCCAAAGAAAAAATAATTGCCGAGGAAGGGTCATGAAGAGGATTAAAAAAAATCAGAGAAAGCTAATCTGCTAAAACGAATCTACCTTTTCCCAGAAGAATTCCATTTAGCAGTAATAATGGGTGCTCTTTTTCCATTTCGTTTGGAAAGGCTAGCAATGAAAGGAGTGCCTCTGAAGCCAGCAATTGCAGAAAACGTAAGAACTGCCTTTCTGGTTGAGAACAGCAAAGCCCTTCTAATCCAGTACTGTATTTCCAGCAGGATTCGCCCACTCGAGCTCAGTGAAACAGATCAGAATCAGCATCTTCCGGGTCATTTGCCAAGGTCCTGCCATCCCAGGTGCAAGGCTCCTAGACAACCTTCTCAGCAGCAGCACCTCTGGTTACGGAGTGTCTTTTTCAGAAGTCCACCTGACCGCAGCACCGCTGCCATTTTAGAGCCAGACTCCTCGTGTGGATTTCATTCAGACATCTTAATAGGTCTGGCTGTTGTTGCTGTAGCTTAATGCAGCAGGGTTTTGTCCGTTTTAAAGGTCGGTCTCTTTTTTCTTTAGTGTTCCGTAGCAGAATCAGAGGCGTGTTATTTCACAGCAGGGAGAGAGTGCTCTTCACGACCACGGATGGACCTGTTCTCCCACCATACCTGCTGCACATTCATCTCATCCATCATTGCTACAATGGATTCCTTTTCAAAATGGATGGACCTCTATCTGAATCACCACCCTATTCCAGAAATTGTAATCAGGCAGCCTTCCCCAACCTGGTGCTCTGCAGACATGTAGGACTCCAAAAACTGGACTAGATGGAAGAACTATTCGGTGGATCCAAAATGGTGTCCTGCAGCAGCAGGGGGTTGGACGCGATGGCCTTCATGGCCCCTTCCAACTCTATTTTTCTATGATTCTATGATTCACAGCTTTCCCAGGCAGTGATGGCACTGCTGGCTGGGGAAAGAAGTTGAAAGCCAACATCTGCAGGATACTAGTTTGAGAAAAGATTTCCTCTCTACATGCACATGAATTTTGCATTCATTACTGTAGATAAACACACTTAGCGATACCTGTTTTAAAATAGGTCAATCTACAGCCTGGTCTCTGTATTAGGGCCTGGGGAGGACTGCAAGCAGGTGAACTCACCTGGACAGCGCAGCTGCTCCTCAGCCAGCTGTCCAGGTGCTGAATATTAATGGGCAACGTCACAGCCCTGCAGCTCTGCTTAGCGAGATCTTTCAACCAGCCCTGGCCAGGGAACCCTCCCAGAAAGGGCTGTAAAGGAGGACATGTGGCCAACAGGTGGCAATCAGGGATCAAAGATCCAGAATGGTCCCAGCGTGAATTGCACAATTTGCGTGCTTTCCCCAGCAGCAGCATGTGTGTCTGAGCAGCTGTGTTTATTGCAGACCATTCTGTGAATGCAAGAGCAGCACCTTCTCAAGTCTCCTCTGCATGGAATGCCCTCATCATAAACGCCGGTAAATATCCGTAACCACAGAAGCCTAGAAATGTGGGAAGCAAATGCTTGCATTGGTTCCTATCAACGGAAACACGACTGGTGATTTCCAGCAACCCTAAAGTCAGTCCGCACACAATGCAAAGGTTCAGCCAGGCCTGTGCTTCCTGGGAGGGACCAGAAGGTGGGTAAGGGCTTCTGGCCTGGGGTGTGAGAGCCTGAGAGGGCTCTGTGGAAAAGTATCTTCTTCGAATTAAGCTCAAGAGTTTGCTTATAAAACAGAGTGTCTGGTTCTGTAAGGAACAACCCCCCCAACGGTGAAATATGGTGGCAGCGGTGACTAACCCTAAACAGAAGAGCAAACTGTGAGTTGGCAGAAGATGAAGAAAAAGGTGAGGGGGTGAGTAAGAAAGCGAGTGTGACGTGGAGGGTTCGAACCTACCGAGCATATTAAACCTGCATGTTCGTAACTTAGCCCAGGCTTGGGAAACTAACCTGGAAAGAGGACTTTAGTCTTCATGTGGACATTGCAATGGCAGATAAAATGGTGTCTCTGAAAAGGAAAATTTCTCTATCTGATTGGAGAAGGGGAGAGAAATAAGTGTGATTCTGTGTGTCAACATTCCTTAAGCACAGTGTACTTTGGCTACAAAATTAGGTTGTTTTGATGCCCACTGCAACAGAAGGAAGGAAGGAAGGAAGGAAGGAAGGAAGGAAGGAAGGAAGGAAGGAAGGAAGGGCATTTTTGTGTAGAACCAAGCAATAGAGGAAGGCATTACTGAAGACTGCACCGCTTTAAAGATGTTAGGTGCCAATTGTAATTTTGGAGATATTGAAGGCCTCTTAATAAGGACCAGATCCTGGGCAGGATGCCGGGCACTTGAATATGAGAGAATTTGTGGAGGGAAGCAGAATTGACCCTAGAGAAGCGTTGGGAGGTTTCCAGGGCAGCTGAATTGTTCAAAGAGCTCTGGAAGGGCAGACAGTAGAACCCATTCATGTAGTACAGGAGACAGAGAGAAAAAGCCTGGATGTAAAGTTACACTGAAGACCAGAGAACAATGCAATGCATCTGGAGAGGGAGGGGCCTTCAAGACAATATTATTATTATATTTTTATTATAATAACAATAGGAGTTTCCAAGATTACCGAAAGAAATGTCACAATTATGACAAACTTAATCAACATGCATCCAAATGTTTATCAGAACAGAAAAGTCCAAAGCTATTGCGCACGCTTTAAATATGGAGCATAACAGTGACTTTGAAGATTCTCTGTGAATTAAAGGCAGTGAACGTGCTCCAGGAAAAGCCAAAATAACAAAATAAACAACTATATGCAGTCATGTACCAGGGAAGGGGGATTGATGAGATTTAAATGAACTGTCACAAGCCACACTGGGGCTTTCCTAACGCCCTTGTGTGTGTGTGATTTTTATTTTAAAAAATGCCTGGCTTGAAAAAGGATCCCTCAAGTTTGGATTGATTCCATAAAGGAAGCCACAGCTGTGAGTTCACCAGAGCTGGGCAGGGCTGGGAAGCACTGGACATTCTGGAAGTCCTCCATCCACTGGGTCACTATGAGTCAGCAGCAACAATACAGCACGAAACAGCACCAGTGTGGTTGCCAACACGCTATACATAGAGCGATTCTATTTAAAACTTCATCTTTCCAGACTTTTTTGGAATACCAGAGGAGCAATGCTGAAACACACAAAGCAGTTAAGTATTTCACAATGGGTTTAGTCCAGTGTTCTGTGGGAAACCCAAATGTAGAACATGACTAAGGTAGTTTTTCATGATTTGTCACTGCATGACCATGAAAAACCAGAGGACAGATAGGTGCCCCGAGCATCTTTCTTTCTTTTGCATATTTGCATCTTGCTTTTTTCCTGCAAGAAACTCAAACCTGCTTATACAACCTTCCTCTCCATTTTATCCTCAAAACAACCCTGTGAGGTAGGTTAGGCTGAGAGTCTGGGACTCGCCCAAAGCCACCCAGTGACCTTCATGGCCAAGTGGGACTAGAAGCTGGATCTTCCGGGTCTCAGAGGCACTCAAACCACCACACCACACTGGCTCTCGTAATGCAACTCCATGTTGTGACATGCTGCCAAGTTGTCTCTGACTTCTGGCAACCCTATGAAGGCGCACCCTCCAAAATGCCCCGTCCTTGACGGCCTGCTCAGCTCTTGTCAATTCAAGGCTGTGGCTTCCTGGATGGAGTCCATCCTTCTGCTATTTGGTCTTCCTCTTCTTCTCCTACCTTTGACTTTCCCTAGTGTGATGGTCTTCCCCAGGAGTCTTGCCTTCCCAGGATATGTCCCAAGTAGGACAGCCTCGGTTCCATCAGTTTTATTATTTATTTATTTAAACCATTTCTATGCCGCCCCATTCGCAAAAAGCCTCGGGGCGGCTTACAACAACAATAATTAGACTTAAATTTACTTCCAGGGCAAAGCCTGGCTCGATTGGCTCTAGGACCACTGGTTGGTCTTTCTGCCTGTCCAGGGTATTTGCAAAGCTCCCCTCCCGTGCCACGTTCCAAAGGCTTGGACTCCACTGTCACCCAGCCAGATGGCCCACTGCTCCTCCCATTCTTCCCTGCTTGTGCACAAGAAACTCTAGGACCAGTCACTTCCGAGAAAGCACGTCACAGAGGGAAACACAACTCTCTTGTCTCTCAAATGACAAATCTACTTTGATTGCAGAAGTGCGCCCTCTCCGTGCTAGAGAAGGCCTGCGACAGACACACCCTGTTCAGAATGCGTCCCATTCTGCTTTCGTGCCGCTTCCGATTGGTTCCAGGAAATCTCACAAGAACCAGAAAGCAGGTGCTGGGGATACATCTGGATCAGTATCTACACTTGCGTCTCAAGAGCTTTCCTTTTGGTAACAGGGTTGCAGCTTGGAGGCAGAGGAAAATGTACCTCCCAAGGAAAGTTACCTCCCACCCACATGCCTGGGCCTGGAACAGGTTCATGTGGTCTGGACGAAAGTGAAAACAAGTTTTCCATGTCCTCCTCCTGCATGCAAAGGATGAGAATTCCCAGGCATTAAGATCAGTCAACTGTGTGGGCAAACAAGAGTGGCCTGCTGTGGAGAGCAAGGGGTGGTTTATACCTCGTGTTCCTCTGTCCACGATTACAGCATCAGTGGTTGCCTGCCTGTGTGAATCACTGGAGTGCAAGCACCACCGCCACATCCAGTTACATCCCCTCAAGGCAGGCGCACAGCATATTCAGCCCCCACTGAATGGGAAGCTCACCCAGAGCAGGCACATCCCACACCACAGGTGAAATTTGCGTTTCCCTTAGTCTCTTTTCCAACCTGCCTATGCATATGGCCGTTCACTTTATGTGGGATCTAGGGGCTGGAGACTGGACTTCCAAGATGGCGTGAGAAAGCTGGATGCATCTGCAATCAATACATGCAAATCCCTGGGAAATATTGCACGAGCAAACAGGAAAACAGAAACAGATGTTTAAAGCAACTGCGGGAAGAGGTCTGCTGAATGTTCTTGCTAGACATTTGCAAAAGCTAACAGGGTTTTAAGTGGGAATCTGGAACCCCATCTAGAACGGTCTTACCTTGCATGTCGGACATGAGAAAGCAGCATCAGCAAATTCGCCAAGCGAGTTGTCTGTTGCGGCAAAGGGATGCCGCTCTTTGCAATGACCCAGACCAAGGCATCCGTCACACAGTTGAGGAGGCGGCTGAGCTTCTTGTGGCTGTCGGGTTCTTCTGCAGCTGAAGAGAGTGGGAACATGCCTAGGATGAAGAGGACACCAAGAATGAGTTGTTACTGCGTATTAGGGAGACACTGAGCTCAAGGGACTTAGGAAGCTGAGTGGGACCATCGCTCTTTGAGCCCAGTCACGTCAACACGGAGAGCAGCAGCAGCCCCAGCCCTGCCTGTACATAGCAGAGCCGGGAAGTGGGACCTGTCATCTGCAAAGCAGGAACGCTGCCACAGAGCTACAGCCAGGGCCAGGGTGTGGAAGCCCCTTCCCCTCCATGAGCCTGCCAGTTCACCAGCACTGTCCTTGGTTGCTGTGACTCTTCTGCCTCATCATCCCTACCCTGGTTGGTTGCCAGACAGGCAGGCAGATGGACGGATGGAGAGGGAGCAAGCAGGTAGAGGAGCCTACTATTCCTTCTCACTGCTGTTATCTTAGCCAGGTCAAGGGGCAGGTGAACCCACAGGTTGTAGGGCTCATATCAGTGGTCCTCTGGCCAGGCTGCAGTCCCTTGGGATTTAGCCAGCTATGGCTGGGTTCAGACAACACAACATCCCGCACTCAAGGGTTCAGCGTGGGTCGAATGTGAGCTGTCATTGAACCATGGCTGTTGTTGAAACGTGGGTTATTGTGTTGGCTTCACCAACAAGCCATGGTTTGTCAACCATGAACAACCTATGAGGAGAACCCATGGTTTGTTGTTGGGTTGTGGACTTTGCACTGTCATGATTTATTATCTTAGCTGGGTTCAGAAAACAAGGTATCCCAAATTTCAGCTTGGCTATCAACCACTGGATATCAACAACAACCCCTCTTTCAGTCATTAGAACCAGTCAATATCATTCTGCCTGAACCCAGTCTGTGCTAATTCTTGACACTGGCTCTGGCTATAGTTCTTCCTTTGCTGTAATGCAGGCCAGGAAGGGGAACTCATCATGGAGTTGCCGTTTGCATCAGCAATGCCATGTTTTTCAAAGGAAGTATAAAAAGGAACCACAGCAAGTTCCTTAAAATGCACCACTTCTTTGCATTTTAGAGTTTCTCTACCCAAGCTGTTTAATGCACTGCTTACTGAGGCTTCATCTTCCATTTCCTTTGCTGGAGGAAGAGCGGGTCCTTTGCACATTTTTCCCTGGCGTTTTCCTTTCCATTTTTCTGAATGTTCTCTTACAGAACCACAAGGTGGCGCTGCAGCATAAATCAGGTGCAAAACCATGCAGGCTTTTTGTGGCTGTTCCTAACAGGACGGGAAATAAAAGCTGACTTTTGTAGCTCTAAAAAAAAGCTGTAAAAGGCCAGAAAAATGGGAGATGCTCCGGAGGGTGGCAACTTTGTGTAATGGACCCACAACGATCTGATGATTTCTGCACAGCAAGCTGCTCTTTGGCAGAGGAGCAGGCCAGGCAAGGGTTTTTTCCCAGTAGTTGGCAACTCTAGCATGACCTTTGCAAGGTGAAACATGAGAACTAGTAATGGAGGTCAGAAACACTGGCAAAGAGTGTGGTCTGAACAGCTGCAGTATAGTCAAGGGTTCTGCTCAGCGGAGGCCGGAGTAGGAAGGCAGACTGGCAGTTCGCAGGGCAGGGAAACTGAGATGGGCCCGGATGAAATGTTTGGCGTGTTCAGCTGCTCTGAGGTCACAAAGCCCTATTAGCATTATTGATGGTGTGGTGGAAAGACCTTGAAGGCATGGATGGGTACTCAGTGAGACACAGCTATGCACCTGCCAGACAAGTCAATCTGTCTGTACAGTCTCAGACGTGCTCCATAAAGAAAAAAACTACCTTAGATGTTTGCAAAGTTGTTATTGCTCCTAGTGCCACCCACCTCCTCCAAAGGCACGAGATCTCTGCATTTTGGGAGAGACATCCTCCTCTCTGCAGGGGCACAAGGACTGAATGTGATTCCCAGGAACCTCTGGCGAGGCTCTTCCAGCAGTCAGTGGGGCAGAATGCAAAAGCCATGGGGCTGGAACACCAGCAGATTAACTCTTTGATGCCCCCGCTAAGCCTTATAAGAGGCATTTTAGAATGCGGGTGGGGAAATTGGGCACCACCAATGCAAAATGGGCCAGGGCCAAGGAAAGCAGCCATATTCCTCCAGGGAAGCCCCAAAAGCCCGACTTGGTTCCCAGGCCTGAGCTTCTGCACCCCGGGGTTACTGCTTGCCACATGATGCTTCCGTGTAGGTTAAAGGCGTGCAGGCAGTACATTACAGCACTACTTGTATGCAATGCAGAGCAGAACACGCATGCACCTAACAGACAGGAAAGACAGAGACCTGGAGAAGGCCGCTGAAACTTATAGAATCACCACTCCAGGACAGCGTCCTCCAGAATTTCCCCAGATGAAAAACAGGGCAAAATGAAAGGCAGGGACTAAACAGGGAAAGGTGCAGAAATGCAGAACTATCCCAGAATGCACTTGCTGTTCTTCTAGGCTGCAGATGCAAATGAGCATTTGCGCTTTTGGGAACCATTTCAGCAGCTACACAGCCTCTGGGGAGTTCATGGGCAGTGTCTCTGCACCTTCAACAGGCAGAATTCAACAGGTGAAGGCTTCCCATTGCCAATGGTGCTGCCTTCACGCAGCTGATGTAACTAAATCACAACCTCATTTATGGATAATGCTGATGAGTCTACTGCCCCCCATTTAATGCAGACACAACTTGGAACTGGATGGCCAAACTATAGCAGCTTACTTAGCAGTTACAAAGTTCTGTATATTTGTTGAGAGCTGCAAAAGCATAACAAAATAAAAACCATGTAGTGTATAAAAAGCAAAAACTTCCTGAGCCTGAACATTTGCATAAATGGGCATTTAGGAAGCGCCTTACTCCATATATTCCTGCTTGTTGTCCAAGATCATCAACTGTGCTCTCCTACGAGTTCCTCTTCCCAAGGAGGTTAAGGAGGAGGTGGCAATTTTCTGTGGTGGCACCCCAGCTGTAGAATACTCAACCACCTGAGATTCACCAGGTGCCCACCTTGTTGAGTTTCAGGCACCTGGCAAAAACTTTTCTTTTCTGGCACACCAATGGCACCATCTAAACTATTCATATCAATGGCAGTGGTTTTACTTACATTGATTTATATTTTATTTTTATTTAATTATGTGTACTGTGATTTTATCCTGCTTATTTATTATATTTAATTGAATCATTGTATCCATTTTTAAATTACAATAGCCGCCTAGACAGCATGATGCTAACAGGAGGCTTTCAAACAACTCTGACAAACAAACAAATAAAATTTATCCACTGATATTGAGTGTATTTGCCAGCACTCTTCCTTGTCCTCATTGGCATCTACACTCAGCCAAATCTGACTGACCATGAGAACATCCCGTCGGCCCTGATCCTTGTTTGTGCAGATGCCCCTGTGTGACCAGTGGAGGAGCAACCAGGGAAAGCCCACTTCCAGAAGGCTTGGCATGTCTTCACCTCCAGGGACTCGCCTGCCAGGTCAGAGTGTCCCTGACATACCGGAGCCTGTGCCAGGGCTCGGTCCTGCTGAAGCAGGCTCCCAACCCTCCCCTGGCTTCCGTGGATGCCTGGATCTATTTCTCCAAACATTAGTGCCCTCCTTAAAACTAGATACCAGCGAGTATTCGGAATCTCGTCTCAGAGGAAGTTAGGGATTGCCTGATTTTTTCCCCCCAATGCTGGAAAAACCTAGGTCATCCGAGGTGCAGAAAAACTATTTCCTTGTCTCTCCTATCCTCTTTTGAGGAGAGGTAATGAGGCTAAGGCCCACTGCAGTTTTGTACTGAGGGAAACCCCCTGCAGGGGTGAAATTTGGCTTTGGGGGAGTAGGACCACCCCCAGGCACAACTTTCATTCCTGCAGAATTGCCCCCTCGCCCCGTATCTAAGTCATTGAGTGAAGCTCCTCCATTAGCTTGCACAGGGCAGGGGAAAGGGGAAATGAAACCTTGCAGAAAGACGTTGGCGATGCATCCTTAGCTCACATTTCAACCCAGCCGGAGAAGAATTTAAGTGCTTCTATCCTTCCTCATGCATCACCTCTGAGATGTCAATTAAAGGCTCAGGAACAATCCTTGCAAAGCCTCATCCAGCTTTGTGGGAACTATGTTTTAGTGACATATAGCAAATCAGTTAAGAGAATGCCTTTATCCATTGAAACACCTATATTTCAAACATTCATTGACAAGAGAATGAATATTTGAAGCTTAACATAACATGCCCCATTCAGAATTCTACAGCAGCTACAAACTGACAAGAAACTAGAATGAAGAAAATAACATAGCCACAATCCAGACAGAGTTAAAGCAATTTTCAAGTACCTAAAGGGCTGTCAATGTGAAGAGAGCTGCAAACAATTTCATCCAAGACTGTAAGGCATGAAACAACATGCTTCAAGTTAAAAGAAGTCAGATTTCGTGAACATCGGGAAAGACTTGACAATGCAACCAATGGCCTAGGGAGGAGGTGGAATATCTTGTCGCTGGAGCGATCCAAGCAGAGACTGGTCATCCGTCAGTCAAGGATGCAAGGAACTGGTTACCTGCCCTGAGCATGGGGTCAGAATCAATTATCTAAATGCCCCTCATGATTTGGAAGTAATGCTTCTTTTAATACATCCCAAAATAGCATTTGTCCTTTTTGCAGATGCATTGCGTTGTTGGCTTCTATTTATCCTATTGTCCACAATCACACCAAGGTCCTTTTCTTTTTCAGTTCTGTTGAGCCACGTATTCCCCATCTTGTATTGATGCCTTTGGTTTCTTTTTCCTTGGTGGAGGGCTTGGCATGTGTCCCTAATGATTCTCATTCTGTTGCTTTCAGCAGTGTATTCTCAAAGCTTTCCTCCAGCCCCATGTTTTGAACCATGTTTGAGATAAAGGAGAATAAAAGTCTTGAGAAGTAGTAGTTCCCCTATACTCTTCAGTAGTCAGACCTCATCTGGAATACCAAGATTTAAGAAAGATGCAGGTAAATTAGAAAGGATCCAGAGAAGGGCAACAAAGATGATCCATGATTTGGAAACACTGCCCTGTAAGAGAACTGGGCA